TAAAATCTTCCATTAGTCCAACAGCTGAAATCTGATTGGTTAGTAAAGCCGGCCATACACCTATAGATTATCTGAAGATTCTCTATGGTCAGATGGAAAAAGTGCAACAGATTCCTCCATCTACGCTAAGCTGTGTGGATGGAGGAATCTCCCGCTGGGCCAAGCTTCAGTATCTTGCTAGTCGGCCCCGCTGGCTCTCTAAATACCTGAACAATGCCTGCGTCCAATCAGAATGTTCTGGTATTTTGAGAGCCAGAGGGGCCGACTAGCAGGGCAAGTGGCTCTGCAAATTGTTTATAAATAAACATGTTCATTGCATTGCTATAGCATCAGGTCTTGTGAGATGACTTTCCCGTTCACACATGAGTGATTTCAGGTGATTTTGAAGCATTTTTTTGGCTTGTGTGTTTTGAGTGTTTTTGCTTTAGCCAATGGAAAGCTAGTTACTAGGAGAAGGAGACGGTTGTTAGGCGCAAACTCATGTGAAAAAACACATCACATGCGTTTTTTAGGTGCTCCCATTGAAGTCCATGGGGCAAGAAACTAAAATTCTGCCCGAAATGAAGCCCATGTGCTTCTCTGAGCTGACAGGTGTAAACAGGCACTATTGATAATAATGGGATTGTTCATGCTGAGCAGTAGTGCAACTATAACCATAGCAGACCAGGCGGCTGCTATGGGGCCTGGTGGTGGAAGGGGCCTCTTTAGGTTGGTAAGGCAAATGAAACATAGAACATGTGAAGATAACACAGTACTGTATCATTAAGGGTTGGAGTGGTTGCAGTTGAAGACAATTCCAATCCCCTGTAAAGTCTATAATGTAGAGACGACTTCAGATTCACAAATGGAGTCTTTGGGATCTTGGAATTGTTACTCACAGCTCAGAAAAAGGTCACATTTTTGCTATGGGGCCCCATAATCTGTCATAATGGCCCTGATCTTAATCGTTGTTGTGCTTTGGGAAACATGTAACAAAATGTTCAGTTGTGATGGTGGTTAGTCCACTGGTGTAAGGGTGGTGTCCCAAAATTGCTGGCCTGGGGGGCAGGAAGCATTGCTCCAGCCCTGCATGTCAGCACTTGTGTATTGGCCATACTGCAGCTCCCAACACTCATGGCTGCCACTAGAGGTCACTGTTGGGAAATGGCAAAGGGGTTTAATGTATAGCCCCTATATCCCAACTGTCTTCTACGGCATATCTCCAGGCTTCAGACAAACCTGTAGCATGTCCTCGGTCTCTGACCATCATTTCCTCAGTATCTAACAGCACCCTTTAGCACTTAGCTGAACTCCAGGCACAATAACTTTCATTTAAATATATTCCTCAATAGTCACAATGCATAGAAATCTGCTTTGTGTGCACCAAATGCCTTTGCAATTCCAGTTATTACCTTGTACACGTAGCAGTGACATCATCACTGTGCTGCACATCCTGAGCAGAGGTGTGGGAGGGGCCCAGCAGGTCAATCCATTACTGGAAACGCCAGGAGGGGGTCGGAGACAAGACCAGTCACCATGCACAAGGAGAGAGAGGCAGTGACTGGTCTTTATTACAGGAGGAGGCGGAGACAAGACCAGTCACCCTGCACAAGGAGAAAGCAGACATGCCAACCTGCAAAACCTTATTTCAGGGAGGTTCCCGTCTCATTTCAGGGAGGTGCCCTTTCTGTTTTTTTTTTTTTTTTAGTTGTAAGGTGTGTGCCCAGCATGAGACAGAGCCAAGCGAAAGGTTTACTCAGAGTAAACCTTGCAGGGAGAAAATGCCTCTCTCGCAGACGTCAGGGAGCAGCTGTCTAATTGAGGGAGACTCCCTGATCATCAGGGAGACTTGAGAAAGACCAGCAGTCACTAGTTTTTATTGCAGGATGGGGAGAGAGAGAACACCAGTCACCCTGCACAAGGAGGGAGAGTGGCAGTGAGCGGTCTTTGTTACAGGAAGCTTCAACTCTCACATGGGATTACTGCACAGATCTGGAAGAAATACACAAAGCTCACCAAGATTCAAGTAATAAGATAGTAGGTATGGCTCTTGTATTTAGATGATAGTTCAGCTGTGTGCAGCACAATGATGATGTCACTGCTACTTTTCCCAGATACTATCTGGGTTTGCAAAGGCAATTGGTGCACACAAAATTATATCTTTTGTGGCTATTAAGAAATATATGTAAATGAAAGTTGAAGTTCAGCTTTACATATACTGACCATTATGCGCGGCCCTTTGATGATGTCAGGGGCCACAACTGAGGCCCCCTATACCTTATATGGGAACCCAGCATGCGAGTGCTCCGAATGCACAGCACTAACACTAACATGCTTATATACTCTAAAGAAAAAAAAACAAAACAGCAAAGCATACAAAGGTGATTTAATATCCTCTAAAATGACAGCACTCTGGCGGGAATCGGTTGGCGTGCACTGCGGACAAAAATGCGGTCCATCAAAGTAAACAGTGCGAGGTATTCCTGTCCCTCTAGAATGTATCACTTCACTTCTAGAAAAAAAAAGAATCTGCTCGTAGCTCGGGGCAGAAAGAAATCCAGAAAGTGCCCGAGGTGAAAGTAGACCAGCCGGTCGGATCGGAATTCTCACAATGTGGACGGGGAGGGGAGGGGGCGAGAAGCGGTGTGACCTGTAATAGAAGCCCCGCCCACTACTACAACCCTATAAAATAATGATATGTGTGTGTCAGGATTCAAACCGAAGAATGTCCTTAAAGCTGGTTGTATCCAAAATGGCCGCATTCCATAATTACAGGGTGAGGCCAGAAAACCTATAAACCTCCATGTGATAAAAAAATCACTTTTTAGGATCTTCTAATTCTTCTAACAGCCGAGAACGTGTGCGGAACTTTCCATTCCTGCTGGTCGGCTCCAATGTGCCGGGCGCTGGACTGGACAATATCCACGCTATTAGAGGAACTCCCCTCCCCCCAACTAAAGCTAAATTCCCTCTATGTAATATTCAATGTTTTTTTTTTTTATAAGTTTTGGAAAAAACTTTTTTTGCCATCTGTGTCCCATTGGGGAGATTTCCCTTCACTTCCTGCCTGATAGTCACAACAGAAAGTGGAAGGAAATCCCTCCAAAGAGAGGGAAATCTTTGTTTTTGCCATCTGTGTCCCTTTTGGGAGATTTTTCTTCACTTCCTGCCTGATAGTCACAACAGGAAGTGGAAGAAAATCCCTCCAAAGAGAGGGAAATCTCTGGTGGTCCGTGGAGTCACTAGATCTTTGTTTTTGCCCTTTGTGTCGCTTTTGGGAGAGTTTTCTTAATTTCCTGTCTGATAGCCACAACAGGAAGTGAGAGGAATTCCTTCCAAAGAGAAGGAAAACCCTGGTGGTCCCCATTGGAAGATTTCCCATCTATTCCTGTTCTGGTGACCACCCACAAGATCTGGGTTTGTTTCACTGATATCGGTCACCAGATCTTTTTTTTCTGCCATCTGTGTTTCATTGGGGAGATTTTCCTTCACTTTCTAATAGCCACAACAGGAAGTAAGCGGGAATCCTTTAAAATACAGAGACATTTTCTTGGTGGTTAGAGGGATCACCAGATCTTTTTTTGCCATGTGTGTCCCATTGGGGAGATTTGCCTTCACTTCCTGTGTGGTAGCCACAACTGGAAATGAGAGGAAATCTCTCCAAAGAGAGAGAAATCCCTGGTGGTCAGCGGGGTCACCAGAACTAGTGTCCCCATTGATTTCCCATCTGTTTCTGTTCTGGTAACCCCCTGGTCCCTAGGGATGCACCGATACCGTTTTTTCGGTATAAAGTGCGGGTACCGATATATTGCTGTCGGTACTCGCCGATACCGGTGCTTCCGCTGACATGGAGGCGGCTCACCGGGCAATCAGGAAGTCGGGCAGCGGGTAATGACGCCCAGCCCAGCTTCTTGATTTCCCGGGAAGCCGACTCCATGTTGGCCAGCTCGATGCTGATTGGCAGGGAAACCGGCTTCCCAGCCAACCAGCATGGAGCTGGCTTTCCAGGGAACCAGGTGGCAAGTAATAACCCACCTCCCGGCTTCCTGATTGGCTGGGAAGCCGGCTCCATGTTGATTGGCTGGAAAGCCGTCTTCGCAGCCAATCAACATCGAGCCAGCTTCACTCGTTCAGCCAGCTCAATTCTGGAGCTGGCTGTTCAGCATGGAGGCGGCTTTTCGGTCAGCTCGTGCTGATTGGCTGGAAAGCGGCCGGCTCAATTCTGATTGGCCTTCCCAGCCAATCAGCATGGAGCCGGCTTCCCTCGCCGCCCGGCTTCCTGATTGCCTGGGAAGCCGGCTCCATGCTCCCTTGGCACTGCCGGCCAGAGGAAATCTTCCTCTGACCAGAAGTTCCGATATTTGGGAAGGTATTAGAGCATTTGGGCGAGTACCAGTACTCGCCCAAATACTCGCTCGGCACTGATACCAATACTAGTATCGGGTCATCCCTACTTTAAAGCCTTGCCACTTTGCAGTAGCTTCCTGTAATAAAGACCAGTCACTGCTGCTCTCTCTTTGTGCAGTGTGACTGGTCTTGTCCCCTGCTGGGTTCCTTCCACAGCTCTGCTTTCTGCACAGACCATGTACAGCACAGTGATGCTGTCACTGCTACTTTTACAAAGGTAATAACTGGGATTGCACAGGCATTTGGTGCGCACAAAGCCGATTTACATCCTATGTGACTATTGATTAACATATTTGAATGAATTTTATTTTTGGTCTGGAGTTCAGCTTTAAATACTTCCAGCCTCGTGAGCCTCGTCCGTTTTCACACCCGAACACTTTATCATAAAGGATTTTATACAAGCCGATGTCATTTGAGGAAGGTGGCCCTTTAACGCGTCTCGATTTCTGCGCACACAATATAACCTTTTTCTGAGAGCGCCGCATTCCTGCAGTTAAAGGGCACACACAGTCTCCGTGCAGCTCGGAGTCAGAAGACAGTGTGTGTGTTTCGTCGTAATGTGGTTGAGTCACAAGAGACATTTGCCTGAGGTGAGTTCCTCATATCCGTGTTGGGAGATTGCAAGGCACGCCTTCCCTCTGTGCACGGCACACACTCGATGTGCTCAGGGTGGTGCCAAGACACACAGGACCTGTTGACGGAGAAAGCTGCAGCCACAATCAGGAGCCCGGACACTGAAAACTGTGAGTTTCCTTCTAATTGCATTCATTTCTGCAGATCCGTCTGCCTTTTGTTCCCCTTTGTGCCTGCTTCCAGCGCCCGTCCGTCTGGGATCAGGTGACAGCGTCGTCCGGGAACTGTCAGCGTCTCTGGGATTAAGGAAAAGTTTTGGTGAAGTGCTTGTGGAATGCGGCACATTGTCATATGTAACACATCCCAATCTTACTTGCTGTCAGTCTCAGACCTCTGTGACCCCGGAGTACGGTTGTCACGGGGGGTTTCTGGTGTTGGGATATTGGTGTTGTGATGCCAGCAGGTAAAGCATATGATGTGCCCTGAGGAGTCTCGTGAGCAGCTGTTGAGGAGCTGGCGGTGCCCAGATGACGGCAGAAGGTGCACAGATAAGGGGGCGTAACAAAAGGTTTTATGGTGAAAGAACCGGAATGGGTTCATGTTTTTGGACCACCTGCTGGAGAACAAGAATTTTCCAGAGTTCCCGTATATGTCCGCTATGTATGACCCCCAACATGTTCAGTATCCCCTCCACATTCCACCTGCTGGAGAACAAGAACCTTAGAATTCCCATGTATGTCCACCATGTATGACCCCCAACATGTTCAGCATCCCCATACAAATTCCACCTGCTGGAGAACAAGAACCTTAGAATTCCCATGTATGTCCACCATGTATGACCCCCAACATGTTCAGCATCCCCATACAAATTCCACCTGCTGGAGAACAAGAACCTTAGAATTCCCATGTATGTCCACCATGTATGACCCCCAACATGTTCAGCATCCCCATACAAATTCCACCTGCTGGAGAACAAGAACCTTAGAATTCCCTTGTATGTCCACCATGTATGACCCCAACATGTTCAGCATCCCCTCTATATCCCACCTGCTGGAGAAGAAGAATTTTCCAGAGTTCCTGTATACACTGAGTGGCCAGATTATTATGACCACCCCATCAGTACTTCGTTGGGCCGCCTCGTGACTCCACGAGATAATGAAAGGTGATGCGAGGAATCTGACACGGCACTGTTGCCCTTCTGTTGTCTTTTACCAGTCTTGCCACTCTCCGTTCTGCCCTAACATTGACTAGTCGTGGTAAACAACCCGCTTCACTATTTATAATGGTCTGGCCCTCGAGCAACTTCAGCGCTTAATTATAGCTAATTTGCCTACAAACGTCAGGTAGTCATAATAATCTGGCCACGCACGTCCACTACATATGACCCCAACATGTTTATCATTCCACTACACATTCTACCGGCTGGAGAACAAGAACCTCCAGGGTTCCCATATATTGTATGTCCACTATGTATGACCCCAACATGTTCAGCATCCCCTACACATTCCACCTGCTGGAGAACAAGAACTTCCAGAGTTCCCATGTATGACCACTACATATGACCACTACATGTTTAGCATCCCCTCTATATTCCGCCTGCTGACGAAGATAAGTTCCAGAGTTCCCATACACCTCCACTACGTATGACCCCCAACATGTTTGTCATCCCCTACACATTCTGCCTGCTGGAGAAAAAGAACCTCCAGAGTTCCCATGTATGTTTACTACATATGACCACTACATGTTCAGTATCTCATGCACCCCATTTAAGAACTACAAGTGCCAGTGTGCCCTGCTCCCCTCAGTCACTGTGGAACTACACGCCTGTTTGTCTTCTTCACCTCTCAGTTGTCCAGGATATATATTTTACATAGTGCTTCGCCATAAAAGAACTACAAGTCCCAGCATTCCCTTCCACCTTGTTCTAGCATTAGTATTTAAAGGGCTTGCTGGTCTTTGTAGTTCTGCTGCAATGATTGCAGGTAGCCTGAAAAAGACTTGTGAGGTTGAACTGGGTAGTAAGGTCCTACAGGAGACCTGTCTGCCATCACTGACCTCTGCTTCCGAAAATAACATTTACCTGCCTGAAATAGAAACTTCGACCCAGCTTCGGGTTTTGGACAATTAAAGCTGAACTCCAGGAAAAAGCGATGCTGTCTAAATACAAGCAGCCTGTGTATTGCTGGATGAATCTTGGTGTCCTGTGTGTATTTCCTTCACATGTGCGTAACTTCTGCACTTCCTGTAATAAAGACCAGCCACTGCTGCTCTCTGTCCTTGTGCAGGGTGACTGGTCTTGTCTCCGCCCCCTCCTGTAATAAAAACCGGCCACTGCTGCTCTCTGTCCTTGTGGAGGGTGACTGGTCTTGTCTCCGCCCCCTCCTGTAATAAAAACCGGCCACTGCTGCTCTCTGTCCTTATGTAGGGTGACTGGTCTTGTGTCCGCCCCCTCCTGTAGTTTTCTGCAGGCAGCTTGTAGTGGGTGGGGCCTGTTGGATCCCTCCCATAGCTCTGATCTCTGACAGGCTATGTACAGCACAGTGCAGTACTCACCTACTCTTCAGCTCTGCCGCCCACAATCACACCGCTCCCTACTCCTGCTGCAGTTCCAGATGGAATGACTGCCATTCATCCCACTTCCTGTGAGTGCAGGCTGTCATAGACACACCCCCTTAGGATGCGTCATCATGCCAGCCTGTGCTCATAGTAGTGCTAAACAGAATCCTCACATTTCACTACACGAGTGCCATTCTGTACCCTGTTACATGGGCTTCTGATAGAGACAGCAAGTGGCCATTTCAACACATAAGAAGCATGGCCCACTGTTGTCACCATCAGGAAACCCATCCTGAGAAACACCATGCAGCCATCACTGGAGTGCATGTAGACAGGAAGTGGAGGAAGTAGCTACAAATAGGCTGCAGGAGATCAGCAGCACAGAAACA